ACATTACGTTACGTTACATTACATTACATTACATTACATCTCATTTCGTTACATGTTCTGACCTTACCCTCCATTTCATTACACTGCAATACATTTCACTACACTACCAGACTTTGCATTACATTACACTAGGTTACATTACAATACATTGACATTGCATTACATGAACATGACATTACGTTCCATTCGTTACACTATAGTACATTACATTACAAGATATTACATTACGTGACGTTACACGGTATTCTCTAGGTTACAATACTACGTTACATCACATCACATCACATCACAACACATCACATCACATCACATCACATCACATCACATCACATCACATCACATCACATCACATCACATCACATGCATGCATGCATGCATGCATGAATGCATGCATACACACGCACACACATACGCACATACGTACAGACAAACATGCATAGTCGTTTGTGTATGTCCATATGTCAGTCCATATGTGTGTAACTATGTACCTATCTATCTATCTATCTATCTATCTATCCATGCATATACGAATGTAGGTATAACAAGTATGCATGTCTTTCGTTCATGTGTGTGTTTTCGCCCATTTCTCGCACCTTCGAACGGGGATAGCCTGAGGCTCCGGCTTGATCGGCTCAAGCGCACGCTCGGGGCCTCGACTTTAGGACTTCATGGCTTTAAAGAGTGCTAAGGGTTTCGGGTTTAGGGGTTTAGGGTTTAGGGGTTTAGGGGTTTAGGGTTAAGGGGTTAGGGGTTTAGGGTTTAGGGTTTGAAGATGTTAGTGGCTCTCAGGGCGCTTTGAGCGCTTTAATGCCATACGGCTGAACGGTGATTTCAAGGCTTTTTGAGCGTTAAGGGCGTCGTTTTGAGCTTTATGAGGGCGTCAATAGGGCATCCGGTGCTTCTTCTTCTGATTCTGGGGCTTTCTTTGGGTTTGAAGGATTTAGGGGTCAGGAGTTGAGGGTTTCGGGCTTCACTTGAAGGATTTCAAAGTCTCGGGTGTTTCTTGTGTTGCTGAGGATTTCGAGTTGAAGCATTTCAGGCTTAAAGTTGGGGGTAGGGATAAGGACTACGGAGGGTTGGGTTTAGTCGTGTTGGATCTTAGGATGTGTTACGTATCTTTTCGGTTTTAGGCTGACGACTTCAGGTTTTCAGGGCTGTCGTGTGCTTTAGTCAGTCATTCTTGGGCAAGGATACGATTTCAAGGTTTGTGACATTCACACTCGGACGTAGCCTGCTTGCGAAAAGATAACGGAAGCTCACAGTCAGCTGCAGCATCTGCAATATCTTAGCGTTTTAGGGCCCACGGCTTTGAGAGCTTCGATTGCATGTGTCTCGGGCCTGGGATTTGGTGTGTCGGGCAGCAGAAAGGAAGGAGCTTCTTGCAGCCTTCTCAGAGAGCCCAAGACAATACACCGAAAGTAGAGACCATTGTCGAATCTCATTCTGACTTAAAAAATACGTTCGACGGATATCTTCCCTGTTTGAAGGGCCAAGTGTGATCTCTGGGCTTGCGTTCACAAGTCGTCTTTCGAATTGGAGCTGGTAAGCTGAATCTGTGCAGCTGAACACAAGTTTTGGGGTGTTGGGCTGCTTGTACCATGTGGTTGGTCTTGGCTTCCAACTGGCATGTCGAAAAACTACCGGAAGGTAGGATGCTCCGCAGTGGCCGGAGTGCGCAACCACCCGATTGCAAGAGCTGCGGAGAGGATGGACCACCCGAGCCTGCCTAAGCATGGAAGCCTCAGAAGTGCCAGTGATAATACGCCGAGACCTAATTACCCTTTTTACACATGCTTGATTGGAGCTCGCCCACCTACCCTAAACCCTAAACCCTAAAAACCCTAAAAACCCTAAACCCTCTGTTTATCCCCAAAACCTACACCCCAAGAGCCGAGCCCTAAGCCCTAAACCGTTGACCCAAAGCCCGAGCCCCCAATGCGTGGACCCTAAGTCCAGCTCCCACCCTCATCCTGAAGTCAAGCCGAAGCCCAAAGCCTTAAACCCTAAACCCCAAAAGCCGAGACCCCCAAAACCCCTGAACCCGATGCCTAGCGCAATAAACCTACACCCTAGGCCCTAGGCTTGACGGATTTCACCTACAAAAAGCCCATGAAACTCTCAACCTCATTACCTATATGGGAGTTTTCGAAAATGAGGGGTACCTTATTTGGGGGGGTCCTTATAATAAGGATCCTACTATTTAGGGTACTATGTTAGGGTCCCCTATTTTCGGAAACCCCCCATATATCCTAAGCCTTTGCCAGTAGGGCTCAGGGCATGGGGCTTAAGGAGCAAGACCCAAAGGGTCCTAGGTACTGCTATGGGGCATACTTCCCCAAATCAGACTACTAAATCCTAATATAGAAACCCTACATTCTACTATATGGGCAATTCTCTCAATTAGGGTCCCGTTTCGGGTCCCCAATATAGTACCCTTATAAAAAGGACCCCAAAAGGGACCCTAATTTAGAAAACTACCCATATAGGTCTTTGGACCCTTTGGGCTAAGCTGCTCTCAGCTTGCTCGGACATAGAACTTTCAACTTCCGCGGTTCTGGTGAGCCAGTCCCCAGAGAACTACCCCTTCAATAAGGAATATACCCAAAAAACTATAGGTGCCTTAATATGATGATTTCAGGTAGGGGCCTTCATATTATGATTTAAGGTATATTCCTTAAATTGAGGGTACTGGGTTCTCTGGGTACTTCCATCCCCAACACCACCGGCAACAAACAACTCAACTGGCAGGTTCAGAGTTTTGCCTTGGGACCTAGCCCGACACCCTGAACCAAAAAACCCTGAACCCTAAAGCCTAAATCCTGCATGACCCCAAACCCGAATTGAACCCTGAACCCTAAACCCTCAACCCTAAACCCTGAAACAAAAAGCCCTAATTGAACCCTGAACCCTAAACCCTGAACCCTAAACCCTGAACCAAAAAACCCTGAACCCTAAACCCTGAACCCTGATCCCTCAACCCTGAACCCTAAACCCTGAACCCTCAACCCTGAGCCCTGCCTGAACCCTAAACCCTAAACCCTGAACCAAAAAAACCCTGAACCCTAAACCCTGAACCAAAAAACCCCGAACTTTAAACCCTAAACCCTGAACCCTAAACCCTGAACCCTAAACCCTGAGCCCTAGGAGCACCCTGTGCGAAGTCATCGGGAGCCCGGACGTTTCGGACTCCAATCCTGGTCCAGACCTCGGCTCTTGGTTTTTAGGGTTTAAGGGTTTAGGGTTTAAGGGATTAGGGGTTTAGGGTTTAGGGTTTAGGGGTTTAGGGGTTTAGGGTTTAGGGTCTAGGGCTTTAAGGTTTAGGGGTTAAGGGGTTTAGGGTTAAGGGGTTTAGGGTTAAGGGGT